GCCGACCATGTGTGACTATAGGTAATGTGCACAATACCTATTTGTACAGTACAAATGGCTCACCGGGAAATCCTGCATTGAATTATTCATGTGCCTCCCCTCTAGCCAGCACACACTTACTGTACTCTGTATGCAGCAAATACTGCAAGCCAGAGCATTTGATCCTAAATTTAATTAGCTTTATGATACATTTTAGGTTCTTAATTAAACATACATAAATTAAAATTTTATTCCAAATTTAAAAGGATACAGAGTCCAATCACTTTCTCTTAGTTTCTTAATCAATCCTGGAAATTTACCTTAAATATGGTATGATAGAAGGGACACACACATTTGAAGTCGGGTGAAATTGAGCTTATGTTAATTAGGCAACTTTAAAAACTTGTCTAGCCTCTAAGACTCGGTTCCCTAATCTACAAAATGAGGGTAACGTATGACAGGGAGGATCATTCTGCAGATTAAGTAAAATTGCATGAATGAAAGAGACGAATGTAATTCCTGACTCACAGCAGGCCCTTAAAGAAACTATTCTTTCTCCTTTATTTATAAGTTATCTGTCTCAGAATACAGACAAACACACAGGCAATGCTTTTGATGTAGACACACAAACACTTAGGAAAGACATATAATGTAAAGAGATTCTGAAATTAAGTTATTTAGATACAATCATGTGGGCTTGTTTGTCGTATTTGTTCAGGAGCATGGGAGCAAAGCCAAAGTAATTAAATCTCTAACAATTTAGTAATCTAAAGGTCCCAGCCATTGGCCAGTGTGATTATTCTGTTTCAGGGGGAAAAGAAGGCAGGTCTATTTGTAGTGTCCCCTGCTTCATGGCAAGTATTAAATGAATTAGGACCAGAACTAATCAAAGAAGCAAACAGCTGATGACTGCTGTTGTGTGAAAGAAAGAAGTAGTTGATGTTCACACAGGTTAAAGCAGCCAAGAAGGCCCCTCAGTGAAGGCCAAGCTCTTTTTCTCCCTTTAAACTTGTTTTCAATGGTCTTTAGTCTGTGATTATTTAAATATTCATTTATTTCAGAGGCCTTTTTGTGCAAATCTGTTTAAAACCCAATCACGTTCTTATTAAATTGGGCTAAAACTGCTTTCAAGAGAAGTAAACTACAATGTTTCATCTATAAAATTTGACTCTGAATGACTATCTAGGTAATTCATGCAATCATAATCACAAATGTAGTCGAAAATCACCCAGGCTGGAGCCAGGGAAAGTCTTGAAGCCTCACAGGTTATGCACCATTATTGACTCACAGGGTCGGGAAGGGCTGTGACATGCAGCAGGCGACATGGAGGATCTGCTATTTTACTTATTCAATAATTCTGTCTCACAGTTTTCCCCACATACGTTCTGCATTCATTTGTTTGTTATTCAATATAACTAGGGTGATTGTACATTTGCAATTGTCTCTCTAATTGGTGACCCAGTTGCATTTTATAATCCGGCTGGAAATATAGGGATAATTAGCATATATCTTTCCTTTGGCCTTTCAAAGGGGTATTATAATCACTAAATTTAAATTCCAGTGGTGAACCACAAAGGGTGGAATCCTCCCGACTAATTATAAAATAAGCCCTTTTTTGCTTATTCTGAGAGTTGACCACAGCATGGGGCTGGCATAGACCTTAATGTGAGAGATTATTCAATTCCAACCACTCCTGTACCCACCCCATCCACCAGAGTCGTTCTTGAAGTTTCCCTTGTAATATATCTTAAGAGAAAAGACTTAATATAGTTCAACAAGCTAGAAGACTGGCTTGTTTCCTACAAAGAAAATCTAAGACAGGAAAGGCAGTGGCTCTATGAAAACTATATAGGAAAACGTTGGAATTTCTGTGTTGCCACAGGATAGCTTTGGTAGATAGAGTTGTCAGAAGACACTGGAAAGGCCTTTGCTCCCGTGGCAAATTACCACAAAAGTGGCAAACTGCTAGTCAAGAATCAGTGAGAATATGTTCTGAAAGCTACAGTGGGCTGGACTGGGCATCCCCAGCACAAGGCCATGGCAATAACTTTCTACCACTGAACCATCTCTAAGATATTGTAGGTCCACAAGGGCCAGACTGTGTTGCCTTAGAACCTACCAGTGATTTCTGATAAAGATCTGAAGCTTCCAAAGAGGTACGAATGGGGATCTTACTTGGACCAAAACTTTAAGAAGCCAGAGTGCCTGACCTGGTCCCTTCTTCCATTTAAAAATCCACTGGTTCTCACAAGACAACTTGAATTCCATTCCTGGACAAGTCCTACCTTGGGAGATCACTGAATCACACTGTTTTGGCATTGAAAACTGTTCTCCAAGTCAGTTGTCCATGGGTAGTCCATGGACTCCATGGTAGTCAGTTGTCCAGTGCAGTCAAAGCAATCATGAAGCACAACACATACGCAGTGTCCTTCACTGGGAGGTTCCCACTGGGAAGCAAAGCCAAGGGAGACTGCAGTAAAGCTGTGTGTTTAGCACTGCTGAGCACAGTGTTTCCAAAATATAATTGGGCCCAGAATATATTGTTTGCCACATATCTTTGCCACTTTAAGAGGAAAGTGAATCTGGGAAGCACAGATGACTGTGTCAGTTAGGATGCTTTCAGCTGCTAATAGTGGGAAACCCAAAAGAAAATGGCTTCGCCAAATGGGGTTTTATTTGTATCAATGCTAAAAAGTCAGGAAGGAGATGCTGCTGCCACTGCTTCAGTGACTTCAGTGGGTCCGTGGTGTCAGGGCCAGCGACTCCAGGATCTGGCGGCAGTCAGCATTTCTGGTTTTCATCAAGAAATCAGAAACCACCCAGCAGACTTCCAGTGCCTCCCTGACTCCAGGGAGCAGAAGAGTTGCTGAGGTGGAGCCGATGAGAAAGGGGCTGGGCTAGGAATACTGGCTTAGCCACCCTTCAGTGTCTGCCACGACAGAATTACCCTGAGGGCCTTTGCATTGTGGTTTCCTGCTTTGGGCTCCCACTGAGACACAGCAAGGACGAGCTGTATGAAATCTGCAGCTGGAGGAGCACTGTGCTCACGGAGGAGGTGTTCAAGGTGAAGAATGTGCTAAGACCGACGTGAGAGCCCTCCTCAGGCCCAGCGCTGTCTGCCTCCCTTCTCTCACCATGCTCGGCCCACAGCAGTGTTCACCCCACATTCCAAGGTGTGGTTCTACCTTGGCCCCACACACTGAACTCCTGGTGCCAGACAGTTGTCAACATCATGCACCAAGAGACCCGGTCAGGTTCCCACTCTAAGATCTGGGGATTTCTGTTTCGTTCTGAGACTTTTCCACTCATTTCAAACTTTCCCCCGGTACACTTAAAGTTTTGCAAATGAAACCTCAATGGAAGGTTTTGGGGTTCTATCTGTTTTAAGTCTGTATGTATATGTACTTCCTCAGAGAAGCATAATCTATTGCTATGAAAGGGGAAGACAGGCGCAGAAATTACAAAGTAGTATCACAAAGATTGCCTGGCTGCAATGTAACTTTAGATAATAAACTGCTATATCACAAATCAAGAGGTTCAGTCCTGAGTGTCTCTCCTGACAGGCTGCAAGTTGTACCCAGATGAAAACAACGTTTAAGGACCCTTCTGTTCCTACCCTTTGCTGCATTTTTGCTTTGCAAGCCACATCATCTCTGGCTCCTTCACCCTGATGGCTCCTTTCAGCTTCTGCAATGCTGTTGGACAGGGACCACTCTTCAGAAGCAGAGATCTGGCTTCCTGTCCTCAACAGGGCCCCGAGGTCACTGTCAGCATTTAGCCAAGAACTTCAGGGGCGTAACACAATCCTCCATGCAAGTAGATCTCGTCCTGCCTTCCCAAGTTTCGCATCCTCTTTTCCAAGTGGTCCCTTGTTGCTTGATCTTTTTGAGGACCTGCCTTCTTTTGCAGAGGTTCTGCCCTCACTGGAGTGAGTTCCCAGAAGGCCAACAATCAAGCTCACTGGTGTCTCCGATTTGTGTCCACCAAGTTCCTGGAGGCCCATTTGACTGACAGACACAGAGCCGGAGCAGATGGCAGGGCCTTGGCGGCAGGTCCAGGAGCCACCACTCACTCCATGGTGAGGCCATGCCCGGCAGAGAAGCCCATACGCAGCCCCACACTCCTGCCTTCTGGCCTCCACAGGATTACTTAATGAAGGTTAGGGTAGCAGGGCACTTGGAATATGGGTGACATTTACACTTACTGCTCTTTAAAATACTTTTTAATAAAATTATGGGTTGATAGTAATCCCCCAAATTGGAGTCAGATAATTTTAATCCAACCTGAAATTAAAGTGCGATTGTTTATACAACAATAAGGATAAGTTTCCAAGGCAGGCACCAGTCTGAAACTTCAAAAAAAAAAAAAGAGAACTGTAAACAGCTATAAAATACAAACACTTATGAATGCTTCTTAGCACAAAGCCATTCAAAGTTTGGCCATGAACTATTTGTGATCCATCCAGTTGGGGGGGGGGCCAGGATGAAAAATCAATCACATCTCTAACCATGTTGGCTCCGCTGCTTTTCAAAATAAGAAAAATAGTGACTTTTATTCTGGCCCAATCACAGCCTGGAGAACAGGACTACTTCCTGCCTTTAAAGTGTTCTTTCCATGTCACCCCTTAGAGTCAGGTTAACTGACAGTAGGGCAAATCCTTAAAGCCACAGTTGTGATTGCCATCATCCACCTACCCAAGTCCCACAGGCCCACATCCTACCCAAGGAGCAGTTACACTTTGTCAGACCATCACATGCAGTGGTTCTCCTCAGAGGAGGCCAGGTGTCCCGACAGCTGCTCACTTGGGGGGCCCTCTGGAGTCCCACTGCAGTCAGGTGTGTCACGTGTTTCATAGCCATTAAACTTGGGAGGAAAAGGGTAAGAATCGAGTCATTTACTAGTGAATTCTCTTGAAAGGTTGGTTTATCGTCACATTTCAGTCAAAGTATTTCAATTCATCTCTATCAAAAGATGGTTTTATATTCTTGGTGCTTTCTTATTCTGCTAGTTGCTTTCTTTATAACAAAACAATGTTACTTCTGTGGAAATTTATACAATTCTGTATTCCATTAACTAAGGGGAAACATGTAAACTGTTTTAAGATTCCTCAGAGGAATAAAAAGTGACTATAAAATGATTTTTAAGTAGCTTATATTTCAAAATTTAATCATTCTTCATTTTTGTTTGCTATGACATAATTCCTGTAAAAATTTAAAAATTTATTAGAAAAGTAATCTTTCCCTCATTCTCCAATGACCTGCTAAGCTTTACCTGCGTTACTTAATACTGAAGGCAAATAATGAAAAATTGAGAAAGAACTCATCAGTTGTAGACATACGGAGCTCAACGTTAGTATCCGCAGTGTCTACTGAACCAACAAAGCACTTCTTAAAAAACCTGTTTGTACATTTCTTATTCACAAAGAGAGCTCCTTTGGCACCTGAGTTGAGCACAATATAGTGGAACAAAGACTGCCTAAGAGAAAATCGTTTAAAGACTGTATTCGTCTATCTGTACATATATACATACACATATACATATACACAAATGTGCCTGCACACAGAAGAAGCAACTTCTCCTCTGTGCTGAAGGCATTAAAAGAATTTTCCATTTAGTCAAAATAATCCATGGTTATCTGAAAAATTTGAAGTCATCAAAATTTCCATAATGCACAGGTCTATAGAGTAATATCTAACTCGTAGGGAAATCTGAGGCTGCCTTTTCTGTTAACGTATAACATGAAGTTGGACATAATCATGCGGTCATGAGGTCACAGTCACCTTTACATCATATTGCAATGAACTTTTTAATGATCACCAGGTAGAAAACCATCAAAGACTGCCCAATTGGGCCTGAACTAGTGACCGGCCACAGCCCAGGCCCACTGCTCTCGCCAAGTCCACTTGTGCTGCTTCCCGCAAAGGGCCCGCTAAAGGCTCCTGTGGAGAGCTTCAGGCTTGGCCTTCACACGCACCAAGAACTTCTCCTGTCAGGTCGGCCTTGCTGCTGTGGACACTGGCATTGTGGACTTTTTATGTACACTTTAGAGCTCTAAATGATGGTCTTATATTCTAAGCCTTAGGAAAGATCTAAAACTGAATAAGCTGCTGAGTCTGTCACCATTTTCTTTTATGCTCAATTGATCCATCTGGCTAAAAATCCATCATGTTTAGTTTCACCTGAGTGTCTTCTCCTCTAGAAATCCCAGAGGCTGGAGAAACTACAGAGGTGCTTGCGTACCTTACATTCTCCATCTTCCAGACCTCATTAGATCTCAAGCACATGGAGAACAGGCCAGAGACAGCGGAGTTAAAAATGAAGATATGCCACACTGTTCAGAGAAATCTCTATCCATCTTTCGGCTCCCTCTGGGTAAAGGATCTCTTTCATACAGAAAATCACGTACAATATCGATAAAGTAGTATATATTTGGCTTAAAACAGATACTGTTTTCCTAAACAGATTAAGTCAGCAGAGTCAGTGCATAGGGCTCGCCTTAGGGACAGAACTTAGTCCAAATGTTCTCATTTCGTTCCGCTTACAACCATAATGTAACTCAAACTACTTTTTTTCTGATACGTAAAACATTTTTTAAGTTCTTCTGAACTTGAATTTATTCATTAACATGTGAACTCACATGTATAATTTTAATTTTTGTCATATATTTAAATAATTTTTCTCTATGGAGCTATCTCAAGACAAGAAATAATATTATGCTAGCACTAGAAATTTTGCATTAAAACACTTCCTTAAATTTTTCTATGCAAAAGTGCATTTACAATATAAACAATCACATATGAAGCTGCAACCCACAATCTCATTGGAGTGGATTTAAAATTTCAAAGTCGGTCCAAATGAGTCAGAGAGAAAAGTGCTAACACAGCAAATCGGAAACGAGTTCATGGGGGTTGGGCAAAGAGTCATCGAAGCGAAATCTTTTGGAAACCATGCTGCCATCCTCTGGGATGTTCTCTTTGTCTTCCCGGTCAGCACAGGTCCCATGACAAGAGGACTTGGAAGTCTTATCTTCAGAGGACCTCGTTGGATGATCCTGAATGGGAGAGGGACTGGAAGTTTCCTCAGGGTGAAACAAGCTTCCAAAGTCCCACTGTTGCAGCCAAGAGTGAGCAAGGCAGGTTTCCGCTGTGGGTCTTTTCCTTTGAAAGAAGGCACCAAGGGAAAACTGAACATTAAAGTCAAGGTGAAAATGTCTTCGGTTTATCTATAGAGTATAGACATCTTTTTAATTATTATGAAAATAATACATAGTCATGGTATAACATTCAAATCATGTAGGTGAGAATAGCAGCTAACATTTATTGAATGCTTAGCTTTATGCCAGGTATTCTACATATGTTTCTAACATATTATAGTCATGAGAAACCTGTACAATTGGTATTATTATTATTATTATTCTCGTGTATGACAAGAAGGAAGGATGCCAAGAGATCTGAGTTCTCCCAAACCCTCCCACTAGTAAGTGGCACATGCTATAGTTGGGGTCTTGTAGTCCCCCAAGGCCCATGTGTCACATGCTGGCCACCAGCCTGTGGCAATACTGGAAGGGAGTGGAGTCTGCAGGGGGTGGAGCCTAGTGGAAGGAAGTCAGGTCACTGCCCGTGGGCCCTAGAGGAGCGATGGGGAACCCACGTGCTCCCTTCTCTCTGGCTTCCCGGCTGTCATGAGGTGAGCAGCTTTGCTCCACCACCACGTCCTGCTTCCCAGCAGCCAAAGCAGGGAGCAAGTAACCAGGGATCGAAACTCTCAGCCACACAGAGCTGTCCTCCTTTTAAGTTGATTTTTCACATTGTTCTGTCACAACAATGTAACACTAACATAGAAAATGGGTACCAAGAAGGGGATCGTTGCTGTGAATACACCTGATGGTACAGCTCAGAAGTTTTGGGATCTGTTGGTGTAGGGTGGAAAAAGGGGCTAGGAAAAGCATAGAATGCTCTGAGCAGCGCCAAGTTGGTGACTTTGGTTGGGGCTCAGACAATTCCAACGCTGACATGAACGGGGACAGTGAAGGCTTTGCTGATGAGGGTTCAGGTGGAAAGGACTTTATTAGACCACTACGTCACATTCTGTTGATTTGCTGTTCTCGCCTTTTGGAGTGGGAATGTTTACTCTGTGGCACTGTGTCATGGAAGTATCAACTTTGTGTTTAATTTTTACAGGGTCTCATAGCGAACAGTGACACCTTGAGTCTCAGGAAACTTTGAACATGAACTTTTCAGCAATGTTGGAACTGCTATGGCTTCGGGGTCTCTTGGAGATGGAGTGAATAATTCATTTTGTATTATGAGATGCACACGAGCCTTTGGAGTCAAGGGTGAAATGCTATTGTTTGGATCCCGAATGTCCACCAAAGCCTGTGCTAAAGGCTTGGCCACCTGTCTGGCAGTACTGGGGAATGGGGAACTTGTTAGGAGGCGGGCCTCATGGGAGGAAGTTCGGGCACTGGGCATGCCCTTGAAGAGGAATCCAACACTTCAAATTTTTAAAGTTTGCTTTCTATTACGGAAGTAGTTTGTCAAATATCAAAATTTTTCAAATCAAAGGAAAAACACTCATTTATAAGTGTAACTCTAAACATAACAACCATTTGGTATATATGTTTTCTTAGACTTTTGTTTTTAAGTGTAATTTTTTTCTCTAACTGCAAAAATTAATGTGATCTTTACCAAAATTTTAGAATCTAGGTAAAAATATCAAGAAAATTAAAATTGCTTATAACTAGAAACTATGGAATCATTATTTCTACTAAATAATCACTCATATCCAAATATACTCAGTAAGAGTTTGGACTTGAATTTATCCAATAAAATAATTCAGAAACCTAAGATTTTTAATAGATAAAGAAACTGAGTCCCCCAGCAAGTAATTATGAGAGATAAAAAGAATATCATTGTATATTTGCAAGACCAGCATGTGAAGACAAGTCACAGAAGAAACTGCTGCTGATGAGACTTGAAACTAGTATTTCAGAACTTAAAAACTAGAGAAGCGTCGCGCCTACTGATCTCACATGCAGAGAGCCCCAATAACCCTAAGGCTTCATTGGGAGCTACAGCCATCTTTTTTCAAGACCATCTATTATTTGCCCTTAAAATCATATGATATTTCTGAATTGAGGTCCTAAATTCTTGCCTTAGAACCAGAGTTGGCAATACCTAGTTCTACTTCTCGAACTAGAGTACTGTTCTTCAAGTGTTTATCTGTGTTGTGAGCAATCCTTCTGCTCAAAGAGGTGTGCAGCGCAGTACGTGGCTTTCCCCTCATACAATATGAGACAGGGCGTGTAGCTGTGGGGAGGCCTTCAGGCGTCTGAAGCCTCACTTGTATCTGTGAAAAACAGCTTCCAAGAAATAATGTTCCTGGTGAGAAAGTACAATTCTTATTCTAAAAATTCACTAAAGCTCAGATGCATGCTTAGTGTAGTATTCAGAAACTAGTCACTTTCCTACCATGCACAGTGAGCTAAAAATAAAAAGCATTTTGAAACACACAGAATGTTCCATTGTTATTGTGAAATTTTTTCTTTCTAGTCCAGCAGAGGCTGGAAGCTTTTTTCACTAGCAGATAAAGTCTTGTTAAGTCTTTTCTCCTAATTGTTACGGTGGTTTGGACAAATGAGTGTGCTTAATCCTCAGGCAGCAAAGTGAAATGTTTTCCATGTTACAACGAAAAGAACTGACTGTTATGAGTTTTTATTCTGCTCTTGTATGCTGGACCACATTCATCCACAGAATGAAATGAGCTACGTACCCTTCTTTATAAATTATATTTTGATAGATACTGGATTGTGTCTGTCATATTTGTGCCCCTTTTTTTAAGAACAATGTTGCATTATGTTTACTTGGATGAATTGTGATTTAATAACTGATTTAAATAAAATGCTTGCTTTCACTTAAAAAAAAAACAAAACTAAGAAGTAAGAAAAGCAGGACCCCAGGCCCAGGCACCATGCCCCAGCTTCCACATGTTAAAGTGAACAGGGCTGACCCGGGGGAAACAAAGGTCCAGGTCCACTTCTCCTTTTTTTGCCTTGACATTGCCAATGAGGAAGACTCTTGAGGCACAATTTCAGGGCTTTTATACAGAAAGCTGTTAAAGCATCTTTTTCTTCAAGATTTGATAATTGCTAACTGTACTCATTATTTAACTATGGTACAGTACAAATCACTCATAGTAAAGTCTTACCATAAGCAGCCACAGGTACTCTACACTTTCTTTTTATATTTGTTTTCAAGGATTAGTAGATGGTTAAGACAGAAATAATCTAGATCTTTTCATTCCAAACTTCCTATCATGTATTTTCTATCTAAAGTTATGTATTATTTCTTTTATCCTTTCTCTCCATTTTACTTGAAACTTGAGCATATGTCTAAGAATTTTATGCCACTTTAGAACGTACGTTTCTTAATAGACACATATTATTTTGCAATGGTATTTAAACAAATTAATATTTTTACTTACTCTGGATTTTTAACTAGAAGGCTCTGGATGAAGTCTGTGGCCAGCTGTGAAACTGATGAAAAAGTTTCTTCAGAATAATCTACATTAACTTGAGAAATATTAAGATATGTTTCTTGATTATCTTCTCCCAAAAATGGTGATGTATGAGTTAGCAACATATAAGCAATTATACCAATATTCCTTAAAAAAACAAGGGAAAAGAATGAATTCAATTTTTAAAATATTCATATAATATACAATCAGTATTCTACACATTCCTGCTCTCAAAACTGGAACATTTAAAATACAAATGTAAACTGTTTTTTGGGTTTGTTTGTTTGTTTGTTTTAGTACCAGGGATTGAACTCAGCACCTTGTGCTTGCGAGGCAGGCGATGGAACCACTTGAGCTAAATCCCTAGCCTTAAACTGTATTTGATAGAGGTAACCCTCCATAAAACTACACAATGGTATGTATGTGACCTTCCTTTTTTGCTTAGCAGACAGCTTTGCCTGATTTTTCTAGACCTAGATCAGGCATTCCCATTGTTGAGCATTTTGCCTGTATTACAGACCACACCACTGCACTGGGCCTATTCTGTTCTTTTATTTAACTGAGGCTTCATCACCAAAAAGGATTTTCCTATATATTTCTGAACCTTTGGTTCAGAGCCTCAGTGTTATTTTAAAAAGACGGGCAGGTAAATACTCTCCTGTGGCATAATGATACTTGAAAAAAATCTTTTAAATAAAGCCTTACGATTTATACTTGGAATCAAAGAACCCCAGAACATATCCTATCCAACTTTCCCTGCTAGGTAACTAACAGAATCTTACCACATATCTGTTGCTGTGGTGATGGGATCATAGTTCAGGATTTCTGGAGCTGAAAGAGAATAAAGTTTAAATCCAATACTGACAAAACTTACTTTATACTAAATTAGAAATGTATTTAATGTTGAAAAGCCAAGTGATATAAGATAAACAGAAATGTAGTATACTTTTAATTATCCTGGGATCAGACACTTACAAATGTATAATATTGAACAAGTTATGACCAGATGGTTCAAAAACACTGATTATATTTACAGAGTATCTGATGTTTATGCAGTTTAAAAGAAACATATTAATATTAACCTCAAATAATTATGAATAAATAAAATGTTAGAAGCTAGAATATTTTTAAAATTTTAGCTCTGTTACTTTGTTAGGAATTAATTTGCATTATTTTATTAGATTGAATTTAAGTTTTTCTTTTCAGGATAAATCAGATCATAAGCATTTATAATGACATTGTGAGTAAATTATGCTTTTTGGAAATGCTAGGCTTTTGGGTGAACTAAATATCCCTTTTAAGCTATCTCTTTTAATCTAAAAAACCTAATTTGCTAAGCAATTAATTTCCAGTTGTCTCTTCACCTGCCCCAAACACTGCAAAATAAGTTCTCTTCACTTTCTCAACATTACCATGTATTTCAAATTGTGACATCCACACGAGGACTTATGACTGAAAAGTAATTTTCTTCCTTTACAATGGTCACATGATTTCTCCAAAATGAATTTGTTTTGCCCAACTACTTTTTGGTCTGATAAACCACCTACAACTGTCTGATAAACCACATACTCTTGTGAGCTATGTTTTCAAAAATTACAACCATTTATTCTAGGATACAGTCATCCATGTTAGCATTCAGAAGTTAGTCATTCGCACTGTTGTTCACTTCTGGAAATAACTGCCTAGCTGAAAGGTACCTATTATATTTAGCTGTATCTTTTCTATGTTTATGTAGGGATAGCCATATAAACAATGAAAAAAGGTAAATATATTTTTACTACAAATCAAAATACTCTATGTGCTGCTTCATGCAATGTAAGAATCTTTCACATGCACGATCTACTCTTTTTGATTTAGTACAGCATTTCCACATCACGTAATCCTAGGTTCCTCTTTGGCTCCATTCATCAAAACTGTCCCTTCACAGCGCTACACAAAACCTCACATCTATAAGCAGTAGCAACAAACAGTATGCTCTCCTACCAACAATTCCTGCAGAACCAAAGGCATCTGTACTGCAAACAGCTTCGGAGCTGGGACCACAGAAGAAAAAGTGAAATCTATCCAACAACCTGGCTTCAGAGGTAATCAAAAGAACCTGATTACCTTGGTTTTTCTCTCTGTCCATTTTTCTCCTCATATCACTTGTTGGCCTTTTGGCTAAAATCAAGTGTATTTTTCTCCTCATATATGCACAGTGTCTTTATACACAATATTAAACTTCACATGTCTATCGCTTGACTTCTGTGAAGTGTGAACGTGTCGATATGCCTACATTCACTGTGATTCATTTAAATGTGTCATAACCAGGTTTCAATGCATCAAAGTACTTTCACTAAATGAATCCTGAAATTACATGCTGATGGACTTTGTTGTTGTTTTTGTTTGTTTGACTTGTGATGTCAGAGGAGGAACCCAGGGTTCTCATATATGCCAGGCAAGTACTACTGAACTATAACCACAACCCTCAATACAGTTTTTAAAAGGTATCATCTACTTAATAGATTTCAAAATGATATAGAAAATAAAAGCAAATTCTTACCTAGGTATTCTGGCGTTCCCATGATCTCCCGAAGTTCACACGCATTCCCAATTTTTCGAGACATTCCAAAATCTACAATTTTTATGTCTCCAAGAGGATATATACTGCTTAATAATATATTCTGTGGCTAAATAAAGCACAACAAAAATTATAAGTACTGTAATATGCAATTAAAGAATATAAGTCTCAGGCTGGAGAGAAATTAATTGGAATTTATTGCCTGCCTACTGTATACTTCATTAGGTCATCTGTCACACACCGAAGGGCTGCTATTTAGGAGGAGCTATACCCAAAAGTATCTTCCGTTTTGAGGGAAAGGAGCTAGAATGAGTGAGTGCTGGGAAATAAAGACAAGGCTGCCCACTTCTGCCCACACAGAGTTCGGGAAGGCTCTCAGGAGAGACCATGCTGGAGCTCAGCCCTCAGGATGAGTAGGGACTCGTGCATCCACAGGAAGGGGTCTGGGAACAGCAGGAGATGGAAGGGATGGACACACACACGCTTCCAAAGCAGAGATGTTTCGGCACAGCGCCATGGTTGTGGACAAGCTGGGTCTGACTGTTGCCAGGGTTGTAGTGTGGACAAGCAGAGAGGCACAGCCACACCACCCACTGCCTCCTGCAAGGCTGTGGCTATGACAAAGTTCTCTTCTGCTACACAAACCCATAAACAAAAGGAGGAGCTGCTCCCAGTCTGTGCAAAGGATGTGAACAGTCTCTTAACTTTGGGACAATCTCTTGTTTGTGTATTATTAACTCAGAGAGACTATTACAGGACAAAAGGTAAGGACAAAGAACTCTGCTGTCATGAAGGTCAGGCTTTAAAGTATTTATAGTTTAAATATTTTAAAGTATTTAAAGGTTTATAGAGGTTTGAATGCCACCCCTACTTCAAGTGCTGCAGGATGCCATGTAATGCACTTGATTTCTCTTCAGCAGGAAAAAGACCCAACTGGAATTGACAGGAGTGTGTTACATGGTGTTTAGTAGGCTGCTTCTTTCCCAATATATTATCATTACTGGAAATGGTAAGGATGCAAGACAGTAAAAACTCTCCCCTCCTGTCCCCTCCTGCCCAATATAAGAAAACAGCCTGGTTAGTTTTTCTCCTTTGAAAAAAAGAGTAAGAAAAAGAGGGAAAGATAGCAAGTCTAATTGGAGACGTGTATATTTTAAAGTTTTTACAGGACATTCAAATGATACCCAATCTACAGTTGAAAATGATTTAGAAATTAGGAGATAAGCTTGGTCCATCAGGTAGAGATCTGGGATTATGGTGATAATGAAAGTGGTAGCAGAAGCCAAAGGATCATGCAGGAAGACAATAAAGAAAACTCCAGCGCTCCACACTAAAGAGACAGATGAATAGACTTTAAGGTCACTGGGTGTCTGTGGAGGAAAACAGGGAGAAAGACAGCAACATGAAAGGCCAAAGTATCAGGGCTCAGGTAAAGATGTTCTAGAAAAGAGCCAACGACCAAAAGCTGCAACAGCAAGACGGCTGAGCAGCAACGGGAGAGAGGAATGGGGTAGTAAAAGCACATCTGCAGAGGTGGAGATGAAAATTGAGGGCTTCAGAAGTAGACGCCTGGATAAAAGGAGGAGGCCCAATACGTGGCTCTCAGACAGGGATGGAGTGGGATGATGATGGGAGGGGAACACATAAGAATGATGCCTTAAAGAAGTCAGTAATTAGTCTGAGCTGTGTAAACACACAGACACTTCCTGTCTGCCAACACAAAGCCAAGTCCCTGCAGCACAGTGGGCAGGTAAAGAGGGCACCAGCACTGCCTAGAAATCAGACGTGGCTGTTTCTTCTCAAGGCCAGCTTAGAACTCTGCGTACCAAGGGCAATGAAGGAGCACAAATGCTGTGTCACTTCACATCACACTGTACCTTACCTTTAAATCAAGGTGTACAATGTTATTCTGATGTAGATAACAAACTCCTTCAAGTATTTGTTTAATGAGTCTGATAATGTCATTCTCAGAGACCATTTCAGCCAGCTCCGGTAAACAAAGGTTGAAAATTTCTCCACCTGCAGCACTGAAATAAAATCCAAATAACAGAAACTTAAAATCAGTAACCTAAAAAATAACTTTTAAATACTGCATACCTGCTAAGACATACAACCATGTAAACTTCAGGGCATGCATTATACACATATGCATAACACACACATATAAACATTTTTCAGAACAAGGTGGGGGGAGGATCTTCAAGGAATAAAATAAATGACAAGAACAATTCAAACCTGATATTAATACTTGAATATTTAACAAAACAGAATCACCTTATAATCTAATAGTGCTGTCACATGCCTTAACTCTGCAATAAAAACAATTAAAATGGTAGCTAATACTTTGAGATCTGCTCTGTGCACAGATAAATCCGCATGTATCTTATGACTGTCATCTACTTTGACCCTCATGACAACCACATGAGGCATGTAGTTATTCCCATTATACAGATGGAGCAAGTACAAAGAAGTTAAGCAACTTGTAAAGAGTCACACAATAAACAGGGCCAAAATGGGAACATGGCTAAGAATCCACATTCTTAGTCAATATCCTGTATTGCAGCTTCAGGTAGAATACTTGGTACCAGTGTTTTTCAAAGAATTGAAATCTAAAGAATGCTCAAAAAGGCATAGTGAAAAATCCCTACGTTTAGAATCAAATAATCTGAACCAATATCCTAAATCTGCCATTTACCGGCAATATAATTTAGGGTCTGTTAACTTATAGCATGAGTTTCTCCAGCTGTAAAATGGATCTTACTAAACAACAGATATGGGGGGACTAAATATAAGTAAGATAAAAGTGGTCAATGAGAATATGCAAAAAAATCTAGGTGATTATTCATCAAATTTGGAGATATTTAAGTAAAGTATATTTCATGTTATTAAACAGCAACTCACTGTAAAAAAACACTATTCTTTTTGTTTCTTTGGCTCACTGGATTCTTTGATCCAGTGCATCAAGAATAGCACCTGGCACATATAAGGTGTTCAGCACATACTTTCTGAATGAGTGAATGAAAGAATGCAGTCATTCTTCAGAGAGGCTGAAATTGGGATTGACAAGGAGAAAAAACAAATCATATCCACATCATAGGAGCCCTGAGGAAAAAACATGATGTTGGCCCTCTCAAGGTCCCTGAAGGAAAGAGTGCCAATGGTGACACCTTCACTCCTCCCTTTCTGGTTACATGGTCTGGTTTTAACTAAACAAAGCATCTCAAAACAGTGTGATTTAAATATATTCCTGCAAAAACATTCAAGATGTATTACTAAGTAATACTGCATTATATAATATTACTAATGCAATTATAAGCAAATACGAAAATGAAAAGATGAACTTCAGATTCTCTGAAAATAAGTTCTTTGCTAGGCACTTTGCAACATCCAAGCCCAAGCAGACAAGATTAGGAGGTAGCGGGCAGCACTCTCCAGAGCTTGAGGAGGAAGCACAGACAGTGGGTGCCTGCAGGATCACAGCGCTGTCACTAACCAGCTATGCAAACGGGGATAAGACATCTGCTTCTTCTACTGTGACATGTGAGTCAGATCTGCAACTTCATTCATGCCAGATTTCAATTAGACAATGTATATGAAGTATCAAGCACCAGAGTTGTTAGAAGGATCAAAGCAGGCACCCCTGTAAGTATGCATCCAGGGTCCGACATGGACTCAATATTCAATATCTATCAGTTATTAATATAAGGGAGCAACAAACATTAATTCCACTCTAGCCAACATCCAGCCTTTCTGTATTTGGGGGCTTCTTGTTGAACTCTGATTTTGAAGATAAAAGTCTCTGCTAAATTAAAATTCAGTCTTAGAAATATATATGTCTACACTGCATTCTTAAGTGAAAAAGTTACTATAGGATATGTCCAGTAGATTGCAATTTTGTTTCTGAAGCTAAAAGTATACAGATCAAGAAATAAGGATAATTCTAAAATACAGGAATGTGCCACAAAGTTCTCACACTTACATGATTTCTGTATCTTTTAAATCTAACAGTGAATAAGTATTACTTTTATAAGCAAGAAGATTGTGCTAAGGATTTTTTGCTTGCTTCAAGAACAACACACTGAGACTGTTTATTTACCTAAAGGTATTTAACACACAATAATTAAAAAATTAACTTTTTGTAACTTCCTTATAAAATAGAAAATATTACTTTTGTCCCATATGCTCTCATAGAATTGTGTCTGGTGACTAAAAGCAAGTTCTCCTTTTCAGTTATTATTACTCAGGCAGTGTTTGCCCTATGTTCACGCAAACTAGTAAATATTCTTTATAATAATCAGTTTGCTGTGAATTCAACATTAAAAACTTAATATTTCCAATTAAATAATACCTTGTATTTCTAGAAATTTTGAAAAATGTAAATATTTTATTTTCCAACTATGCTTTTAAAACACTTGGTATGGAAGAAGTCTTTGCTTCATGGAGAAGAAGGAGGGGATGGGTCAGCTAGCCTCAAAATTTCTCAATTTATGGAAAGATCTAAGTCTAGAAAAATCAGCATTTATTTTATTTTACAAAGAAACAGCCAAAGGAAAGAGCTTTATTTATTTATTTATTTTTTGCGGGGTACCTGGGATCGAACTCAGGTCCTTGCACTTGCAAAGCAGGTGAACCACTGAGCTAGATCCCCAGCCCAGGAAAGAGCTTTTAAAAGTCATTTAGACTTTGTAACTGAGGAAAGCTATGTATTTTGATAAAAACAAAAACAGAAGATTTAATACATACTTAGAAATGACAAGCTGATTAAAAGAACCTGTTTCATTCACAGAAATAAACTTAATTTGTTTCCAAAAAATAGACTCAAGTTAGGTAAAGACAAAACACATGCGCACACACACACATATCTATCAGAACTCCCAGCTCTGGTAATCCCAAAAGAAAAAAGTTTCAGACAGATTCAAAAAACAGTAAATGTAACAATCCATCTTAAGTGATTGTGAGCTGATCATATGTGTCTGGAGGGGTCTGACATCTACCACATCTGTCTATGCATTGGCCCATAGAGCCAGAAATGCCACTTCTTGGAAACTCCCCTAAACCACACAAATAATGCCCACCCAGGGAAAGTTGAAGGAAAAAAGCATGCTCCAACCATATGCAGCCATAATACCAGGCGGGAGTCATAGCTCAGTGGGAGGCACATGCTTAGCACACCTGAGGCCTTGGCTTCAATTCCCAGCAATGCAAAACAAACAAAACAGCCATAATAACAGTAAGAAAAAGGCCCATGAACCTATAATGATTGACTTCTGAGTTATACTGTTAAGTTTAAGGGAAAAGAAGCAAGGTGCAGAGGAGCATATACGATATGCTACTCTTGCTGTAACTAAAAGAAATACAAAGATATAAATTCACTTACACTTGCAAGAAAAAGCATATAAAAAAATAAGCCAGGGGCTGGGGGAGTAGTTAGCTCAGTGGTACAGCACTTGCCAAGCATGTTCGAGACCCTGATCACAAATGAAAAGACAAATAAAAGAATGAACTAAAAAGAGAATAACAATTACCCATGAAGAAAGGATGAGAACAGAACAGGAAGAACAGGAATGGGAGCAGGATTTTGTAGTATACATTTTTATGTATCTTTGAGTTTTAAACCATGCAAATCATTTTTATAATTTCAAAATTATTTTTAAAAGGATTAAAAAAAAAACAAACCCTAAATTGAACTTAAACAGAAACAAATACACGTAACTATCCAACTATCCAGCTATCTATCCTTAGTTCAGGGGTCCAGGTCCAGGCTGGTTAGGAGCCACGCTGGGGGGCAGGGCAGGAGATGGGAGCAGCAGGGGAGGAGGCTTCATCTGCGTTTACAGCTCCTCCCCCTCGCTGGCTCAGCAGCCTGAGCTCCACCTCCTGTCAGATCGCTGGTGGTACTGGATTCTCACAGAAGTGCAGATCCTACTGCGGACCGCTGCATGCTCCTGAGGAGAATCTGGTGCCTGCTGATCTGAGGGGAGCTGAGACAAGATGTGGCTGCAGATACAGATTCACATTAGCGTAGAGGTGTGATGGCACATGGACCAGAGTTAATCAACTGCATGCAGACTCCTATCAGAGCCCTATCAGTGAGTGACAAGGGACGTTTCTGCTGCACAACTGATGTAAACACAAAAACACACCTCCCAATCCACAGAAAAACTGTCTTCCACAAAACCAGTCCCTGATATACGGGCCCTACTGCCCTAGTGGGTTATATTGTAAATTCAAAAAGAATGGCAACAAAAAATTCAAATTCCACTAAGTAGTTTGCTAGTGCTATTCGTGGTTTAGTACTCATATTAGAATACAGCTGTGCTCAAACTTTTCTGTTTCTATTGCTAGAAAAGGCAAATGAGTTAAGTGTCGTGGAGACCAGGGTCTTCCCCTGTGGAAGAAGGGATGATGATGATAGTAGTAGTAGTAGTAGTAGTAGTAGTAGTAGTAGTAGTAGTAGTAGTAACAATATAATAATAATAATGATAATACAGAAGAAGGTGAGAAGTGATAAAGAACCTTGTGGTGGCAGACGTGAACTGGAGCTGTGAGAATAAATACATTGTTCTTTTTTAACATGCCTTCCTAACTCTAGTCTCAGAAAAGGCCTAGGAACAGTGACCATCCACTGCCAACGACTGTGCCCGGCATCCCTATCTTGGTTTCTAAGCACATTCTGCACTAAAAACCAGAACTTCCTGGAACACTGGCCGACTACAGGTATGGGCCAAAGTGATCCTAGAAATCTTGGTGTGCACAGAACAAGAAAGTCCTCAAACATGAACATATCATATCAAAAGAACACAGGCAGTACCATAAAAGGCTAACTGATAAATCTAACCACTGTTACATTTTTAGGGGGGCAGGTACCGGGGATCAAACTCTGGTCCTTGCGCTTGGGAGGCAGACGGGGAACCACTGAGCTAAATCCCCAGCCCCCCACTGATACATTTTGAACAATTTCAGCATGAAAAAAAATGGTGGCTGCAACTGACTAGACTCCACAGATTAAAATACAATAAGTTATTATCACCATTTTGGGACCTCTATTAAAATAGCTACTTCAAGTATATCAATGGTTATCTAAATTACTGGGTGAAAAGTTGTTAAAAGAAAAAGGAAGAAAAAGGTCTCTAAATTTCACTACACAGAAGACTGACTAATCACAAAGGGGAGTGAGTGGGCGAGCTAGCACACTGCACCTTAACCTTACTCAGCGTCAACAAAACCAGTGACAAAACAATCGGACGGTAATGCAGTAACGCCAGCAGATACATCACCGCTCACACTGTCTTCTTGACAGAAGTATTGAAATCTAATCATGGGAAAAGAAGACAGATCCAGAATGTATGGCATTAGATGTGTTAAGTGATTCAGACCTCCCCCCAAAAAGTCACTGTCATGAAAAATAAAATGACTAAAGAGAGTTAACAAATACAACATATGAATCTCGACAGGGTTTTGCACTGGGAAAAACAGTTCTATGGGACAATTTGGAGAAAATCAATGAAATTTTTAAACATGGACTGTTAGATGATACCCCTGACTGTTAACTTTCCTAGATTTGAGGCTGGGGTTAATTATGCAAAAAGAGCCCTTATTCTTTGGAATAAATGCTTCAGCATGCAAAGGAAAAATATCTTGATACCAATATTATAAAATAAAAAAGCAAAACAGTTATGTCAGATGGTTTGAGAAGATAAATGAATTGGTAATAGTTCTAAGAGTGAAAGATTCCACCATTTTATTTTTACCATATAAACATTTTGCCACCTTACTGAAACAAACCTCTTTTACCTAATTTTTACCATCAACTAAAACTATCTGATGTGATCATACTGTCCCAAAGTGACAGGTGTAGTAATTAAGCCAAAATCTCGGCAATAAACTTTAGTAAATCTTAGCCACCTGGTAAAAAATATATTAATCCACTCAAACATATGCTGGGTGCTTCTACCTTTCAAGTAGATCAATAACAGCTCTAGTTTACTGGTAGGGAAACTGAATCCATTTTCACAGCAGTATGAACATAGTCTATCCATAAAATGTGTCAAAATTTTTAATTTATTTTGTTATTGCTGTTTAGATGAACTCCTAAAACAAGATTTTATTGAAGTAGTGAATGTACCTATCTATAGTCAACCTCCAAGCTTAGTATTTCATTACAATTTTTGAAAAACATTGGCTACTTTTTACATACTTCACACACGCAGAGGTCATGCAAGGGGACACCCGATAGACAGCTAATGAATCTGACAAAATAATCACAAATGTACAAAAAATTAAATCACACTGGGAGGTCGTGACCTTCTCTGCAATTCTAATCAGTACAGCAGGGGCTATAACTTGCCCCCACAGGAATCTTGGTGCTCTGGAAAACGCTCAACGTATTCACACTTAATGAACTACTTGTTAGTTTAACAATTTTGAAAATCAGCATTTCCATTTACAAGTTCACTCCAGGAAAATCTATTTCTTAGCACAAAAAAATTGGTATGTGTGTGTGTGTGTGTGTGTATGCAAATTCTCCATTCTTAAAATAAATACTAAAATAAGGTTAATATACTTTTAAATTTAAAAAGGATGCAACATAGGTACAAAAATAGTGTAGTTCTTAATACATCTTTTATACATCTTAATACATCTTTTTCCAAAAAGTAACTTTTCTTGTTTACTATAAAATAGATTGGTCAGAACCTAAAAGGTACTAAACATAAATTTAACTGATCTTATCTAACTGTTGCAGATGTCAAACATATTTTTTACCTTCTTATAATAAATATCAGACATCACACTAAAGAGGCACATGTCAAAATACTGGTTAACGTCCATGGTTAACCATCCTCAACTCATACCAATTCACCAACTGTTGACTATTTAGGGGTTTTTCATTTTTCTCTGACAAGATATATATTTTATTTCTTCTTGTTACAATTCCTAACATAGTACTGTGAACATCACAAATATGAACTGTGTTTCTTCAACAAACAATGTACTAGGTTTACCGTTCGTTATGCAGTTTACCTTTCTGTTCTCCTTGGATCATTTCCTTGGAGGTATTTTTCAAAGAGATAGACAAAATAGATAAGTAACTTCGATTTTATTTGCCTATTAGCATGTTTTTCAGAAAAAATTCCAATCTCTGTGCCACTAGCAATATAAAAGCATACTTATTTCACCCCAGTCCCCAAATGTGGAGAGGCATACTTGTGAAATACTTGAATATAAACTGTCTCTCTAATATTTCACCAACAGCCATAAGTTCTTACCACACTTTATCATTCTTATGTTTAACAACTTCAAAACACCATGTTCGATCAATTAAAACAGGTACCTTAAATTTATTAAAATGTATTATACTTACTATTCCAGTATCAAAATGATCTCGCTTGTATTTTCATAGACCTCATGGAGATTAATCACATGGGGACAAGACTTTGCCAGTTCAAGCACAGCAATCTCATGCAGAATTTCTGCTCGACAATCTTGCCCTCGTCTTCTCTTTTTGAGAAATTTTGCAGCGTACTCTTGGCCAGTAGATTTTGATATACATTGTCTAACCACAGCAAATTTTCCTCTGGGAGAGAAAAGGACAAGCAAATTTAAGTTTTCCATAGAGAACAACATTAATATAATATTACAGATATTGTTATAACTCCAATATAAAGTCCAATCTTTCAAATATGCATGCCATCAATAATCCATATTTTCTAAACTAAATCAAATATCATAAGTACTTTTATAACATGTATAGTGTTATTAAAAATGTATATGACAAACTATAATAGCAGGGTAAAACAGAATTGTAATTATTCTTCACTATTAATAGGGTACATTTATAATTGCAAGTAGATAATTTCATTTGCATACCTACTCCAAGCCATACACTTGATATAAATTATTGTGTTTAAGTATCACAACAAGTCTATATAGCAAATGCCATTCTGTTTTGCAGACTCCAGAGAAGATGCGTAACTTAGTCAAGATAAATATTTAAAGACTATACCCTTATCAGGGCATCTCACTGACTTACTAATCAGAATACCTTTTCTTCAAATATCAAAAAATCAAAAGAAAATGGGTACATGACTTGTTTTATTAGTGCAATAATTTGGCCTTTAAACATGAATTAATTTTAACAAGCTTAGGAACTTTCTATCATAATTTGTGAGCTGTTTTACCAGTATATCTCTTGGTCATGGTCAGTACTATAAGAGGCCTGCAACAGACAGGAAGAATATGTATTTTATGGAGAATATTCTATAACAATTCATGATCAACCAAGAAAGTTAATGATTATCAGCTGCTAAGTATAACACACCTGTTAAGGTTTATCATTTTAGAAATAAGTGTGTTTCAACTCCTTCCAATAACAGTGCTTAGATCTGTGGCCAAAATTTTTAAAACCACAAAAATTATCCCACAATGGGATAAATCTATTTTGAGGCAAACACTATAACTAATGAAAGCTACTGGCTTGCCTACCCAGAGAAATGTACACACACCATAAAAAGCGAGTTCACACTCAGTTCTGGAGTTTCCAGATTTTGAAGCCCCATCCACAAGTCTTCTAAGCTTGAAATCTAGAGGATCCAAAATTACGAACTTCCATCCTAAGGCTCAAGCTATTCTCTAGTTTATGACAGTAATAAATCAGGTATAAATCATAAATCTTAACTTTTGTTCCATGACTCCTCTAGCCTAGTTCCCTCTTCTAGCACAGTGTATCAGCCCTTAGCAAGGAAAGTCTTTTTTTTAACACAAGCAATATTTAGGGAGGGATGAGGTAATACACTGTTTGATTGTGTTTTCTTGTTATTTCCAAGGACCAGAGTGACAAACATTCCTATTTTTCCCAAAATTCCTAAGAATTGGTGACAATGAAAAGCACTGCAAATCAAACTGAAAAGGTTTAGCTAGTAAGTACAGTGGACTCTCACATTATGACCAGCCTGACACATGGACAACTTGGGTTACAACTACAATTTTAGTTCTAACTTCTGAACAAAATCTTGAGTTATGACCTGAATACTGGCCACTTGTGCTTCCAGATGGTCTCAGATACAGACTTAATCCTCAAAGAGTTCTGGAAGGAACATGACAACATCTTTCCTGTGTGGGGTTAACTGGGCCTATGTCTCTCTAAGGACACTGAGCTCTGCCTGTATACAGGAGAGAACCTTTGAAGGCTGTGTAGAAGAGCCTGAGCCTTACTGACAAATTTGAGTTACAACAAGCCCTCGGGAATGAATTGAGTTCATAAGTCAAGGGTCGACTGTACTGCACAAAAAAGTAACTGAGCTATAATCTGACTCCTACATTGATTGACTCCTACCTCAACTAAATAAATATGCATGTACAACTTGATTCTTTGAAAGCAGTTTTAAGATTTGAGAATATTTAATTTTAACTACAACATATTTCTCATGCTATGAAAAAGGAATACAAATTGGTACATTTCAGTAAGTATATACAAAAAAGTACATCAAACCCTTAATACCCTTAAATACCCTGGTATTTTATAAATTTTACCCTGAGGAAACAGTAGAATAACACTAAATGACACATGAAAGGTCACATATAGAACTGCAGTGTCAAGAATTAAAATGAACTGTGAATTTCTAACTTTCAGTTGAAACCAGTAAGTACCACACAATTCATTCCTTTAAAGTAGTTTTTCTTTTTCCTCTATGAGGTTTAATGTGCTTATGCCAATTCTTACTTATATTCAAGAGTAAAAACTTGTCCAAAACAGAAAAGAAACTTTTGGTTTTATGAAGAAATTAACCCTGTAAATCTCAGGAAACAGAAACTAGTTAGTCAAGAAAATTATACTTCAAAAAAAATTGTTTTACAGTACCAGTTGTGGCAGTTTAGTTATCCAATAACTTTGTATCTCCAAGCTAGAATTCCCTCAGAAAAAAAGAGCAAAATTCAGCATCCCTTTTTGTCTCAGGTGTTCTGAGAGCCCTTCTTAATTAAGCAAGGACAGCAAGCACTGACGGATCAAGACAAAGGCACCCAGACGACAAGGCCAGTGACTCATGCGCTCTGTGGCCATGAAGCTGAAGCTCATAGGGAGTGTGCACATCTGACCTGTAGGAGAATGAGCAGAAATCTGCACTTGGCCCCCTCACTCAGCACGGGAGCTGAAGCATCTATAGGGCAACTGCCAGTTACTACATCCCTGCTATAACAGCACTTACTCGGCTGGTCTGCGTCCTGTACCGAAAGTATTTGCATTTTTAAAAGTTTATTTGTAACTGCAATAAAATTTTATATATGTGTGTGTATATTCACTTAGATACTGTGAAACTAGATACATATTCTTACCATAATTATCAGCTGCCTTAGGAAAAAACCAAGTATTTATTTTCCATTCTAAAGTACTACTTGTAGCTTAGAAGTTATCAGAAATACTCTTCAATACATAATGTTCCTGTACGCAGTTTAACAAACATTCGAGACCCTCAAGAATGATACTTAACTGGCACCCTAAAAAGCCGGGGGCGAGCCGTTTCCCCACAGGGCAGGTTCAGCAGTGGCCTCCTGCACTGCAGAGCACACGGTGCCTGTGGAGGACGGAGGACGGGAGGGCTGCCGGAGGAAGCCGACATTTCTGAATCGGCCTCGCCCCTCTGACCACAGTCCTAAGAAACTTTGCCTCCCCTGGGGGAGGGGCGGAAAAAATCTACCCTACGTGGTAAAAAACAGGAACAAAGCAAGGGGTTTGAGACCAGTGAAAAAGAGAACTTAACTTTTATGTATTCTTCTTTGGCCTGATAAAGAAAAATACATTCCTAAACACTGACATCTTAAAATCAAGCTTTAAGAAATCAGTTGACTGATAACTTTGCAGTTCACCACATGCTAGAATGATATGTTATGTACTACAAAATATGTAAGCCTTCGGCAAAACAAGATTACGATCCCAATTTCCACTGTACAAAAATACAGCATTTTGAAAGTTGGTTAAAACACTGAAAGTACTTTAAGCAAGCTTTTGGTAGATGAAAAGTAATGATTTTTTATTTATCAAGGGCTACTAATTGAATACACCTGCATTTAACCTGAGACTCAGCCCACAACAATTCAGATGCTACTGAGGTCTCTTTCACAAAAATACAAGATGGGATACTAGCAATGTGTATTTGCTTTAGTCAGATTCTTCTATAAGTTTTTGCTCAAAAGTGTTAAAAAGCATGTTGAATCAAGTCTATAATTGGTATTTATGATGGCACCTCATTTATGAAAAATTTCATATTACTGACATCATTCTCATCAGTTTAAGTTCTATTTTTGTCAAAGAAAATATATTTACTTTTGAACTGCCACAGTATTTCTTATTTTGCAAAGATAATTTAATACATTTAGTAAATTTATCCATTAAAATAGTAACTTGGAAAAATGGAAACCATGTTTTGCGTCTTGTGTACTGCTGAAGGCCTTGCATATCTAATCACCTACACACTGCAACTGCCATCTATTTTTGTAATAAAAGGAAACTTGGACACATCTAGACCACCTTCTCACTGGGCAAAAAGGAATCACCAACTCAGTCTTCTAATCTATTCTGTGATGCTGCACAACACAGTTATGATATTACTGGGGGAAAACAGAAGGGAAGAAAGAAAAGAGAGAGGGAGCTTGAAAGGGGAGAGGACTCCTAATGGATTCTTAGGAATCCTTAATAAAGTACCCTAAGATACTAACAATGAGGATCCGAATCTAGGTCTCCCATTCTGAGAGACAACAAAAACACCAAAAGACTCCAGAAGTGGGTACCTGCATCATGGAAGGCTATCAGGAAATCAGATCGCTTAAGAAGCACCAAAGGAAACTGTCAGTACTTAGCTATTCCAGGTATTTGAAGAGCTGCCGCATGGGTGCACAATATGTACATCTATAAAGGAGAACCATGTCTCCTGGGCAGATATTGGCAAAGTAGAAAACAGGACATTCCATGCTTACGAGGTGCCACAAAATGGAGCAGACAACTTCTAAGGTAGAGAGTTCCCCATCAATGAAGCATTCAAATTGACGCTGGGTAACAGCTTATTGGAAGACATGACAGTAGTGATTGCTGCACTGCACAAAAATTATATCAGTGGGCCACGGATTTAGGTCAGTGGTGCCACGCCTGCCTCACAAGTGCAAGGCCCTGAGTTCGATCCCTAGTACCAAATAATTATATCAGAGGACCACCAAAGTCCTTCCAATGCAAACATTTTATGATAACTAAAATCAAGCTAAAGATATAAATTGACTAACTGCCTTTAATATAAAGCTCAAGAGACACTGAATAGATGACTTTAAATTTTTGGTGTTGCTTTTATGGCTTTCAGTACTAAATGATCTTATAGCAGGTCACTCCTTGACCTTAAGAAAATTACATCTTAGTTAAGCCACACAGCAGAATTTCTACAGGCTTTTCTTTATAGAGCACCCATTCTTTCTAACACAGAACGATACTACCAGACATGAGTGACCTATTTTCGTTTAATTTAAAAAAGAAATGGGAGGGGATCTCTATTTCTTTTTCTTAAAAGTATGTACAACATCCTAGGAATTTTTTAAATGTTAAACAAAAACTTACACAGCACTGTATTAAGTACTTCACAAATACTAAGTAATTTGACCCTCACAACAGATAAAATTACCTTCATTCCTTCTTTTTGTTGGAACTGGGGATAGAACTCGGGACCTTAACTTATGAGGCAGGGACGGAACCACTGGGCTAAATCCCCAACCCACCTTCATTCCTTCTTAAGATGAGGTAACTACGGCACTAAGAGGTTCAGTAACTTAACTGAGGTCACATAGCTAGTCAAAGACAGTGCCCAGATTTGGGCTCAGCAATCCACTCTGCTGAACTGCCTCTTCCCATCTCAGCCACAGAGGAGAACTGGGCCCTAGCAGGACTCTAGGTTAGTTGGGGTGTTTCTTACAAACTCACTAACCCTTCTACAGATTCATTTTCCCAATCTCGGTGTTAAGGACACCATATGACTTCACATTCTCATTGTCATTAATGGACCACAGTGAGTTTCAGAGTTCTATCGAAACCCATGATTTGACTTTAAGCACAGCATAACACTGTAGTTTCCTCACCTTCCGAGCTCTTTAGATGTAAGTGTATAGAAGTTATTAAAGTTTTCCATTCTGATTGGAGTTTGAGGAGTTGTTGTTAGCATGCCTGAAATACTTCGGCAATCAAATCTTCTCCGTGCCATGTTAAATTCCTCCAAGATAAGCTTTTCCAGCCACTTATTTTTCACCTATGGAAAATGAAGACAAGAGAAGATGTAACTTAAAAGTAATTAAGAAAAAAACCTGTTATCTCTGACAGGATGTACGCTACATTATACACCTCCAAATATAGCAATAAGGTAGAACCAAAAAGAAGAAAATTATTTAAAGAGCATGCTTTGCCCCAGGAGGAGTACACACAAACACATCACCTCCATTGTATCTCAGTAAAGCTACTGACTTCATTTCAGAATAAAACTATTGCAAAGATCTTCCCAACTTCTTAAAAAACAGGTATAAAATTATAATGCAAATAATCATTTATGTTTATTTTAAACTCTCATCATACCTTTCAAGGATTAGTAATTTAATATAGCAATATAATGATTTTTCATTTTAACTTCACACAATCAAACAAATTTGATGGTGATTTCAAATATCATGAGTTATATTACTGACATGTGAATGTCTACAAAAATAAAAACTTGTTTCATGGAAGGCCGTATTTCAAAACTCAATTTACCCCAAATATAAAGACCCAATTCAAAAATGGACATCTGAAATGAACAGACATTTCTCAGACAAAGAAATAAAAGCAGCAAGTAAATATATGAAAAAAGGTTCCACATCACTGGTCATTCAAGAGATGCAGATGAAAACAACACTGAGATTCCACCTCACCCCACAAGGAATGGCTGCTATCAAGAAATCAACCAATAACATGCTGGCAGGGTTGTGGGGAAAAAGGAACCCTTCTCCATTGTTGGTGGGCATGCAGACTGGTGCAACCACAAAGCAGCAAGTAAATATATGAAAAAAGGTTCCACATCACTGGTCATTCAAGAGATGCAGATGAAAACAACACTGAGATTCCACCTCACCCCACAAGGAATGGCTGCTATCAAGAAATCAACCAATAACATGCTGGCAGGGTTGTGGGGAAAAAGGAACCCTTCTCCATTGTTGGTGGGCATGCAGACTGGTGCAACCACAATAT